ACACCTGTGATGTAGACAGTCCCACACAGAGCTCCACCAGTGACTTTCAGATCACATCCTGTACATTATATTTTAAAGGACAATCATCTTTAATACAGATTGGGAGCAGCTAAAATGAACACTGATCTAATGCGGATGTTTCTTGATATACAAAGTTCTGCCACGAGAAACCACCACGTCCAACATCTGTGAATTTAAGTCTTGGATTAATTATTTATTATTGTTTCTCATTAAAACCATAGTGTCCTTTTGAAAGTGCCCTGCTTCTGAGAGTTTGACAACATCCCATTCTAAAACTAAAAAGCACCAGGTCTAGGGGTGTGCAAAAATCAAAATCAAAATTTGTTTCATGCGCTATGATGATACAGTATCGATATCCTGGGCTGCTGTATCGATATATCACCAAGAGTATTATTATTATTATTATTTTTTGGTATATTTTACTCAATTATTTTGTTACAGTGCTACAGTTTTGTTGCTTGTTTTGAGGAAGGAAGTTTTTTTATGCAGCACATTCAGCATGTTCACTGTTCTGATGATTAAAATGTTTGTGTTTCATATGAACTTTGCACAAGAAGAAGTGGTTTAACAAAGACTTTTAGTGTCACAGCCACGATTTAGCCTTTAGTTTTTATTAAACTGTATCGAATCCATTGGAAATATATCGTACTGAACTGAAAGTGCAGTGTATCGAGGTCTGTATCGTCAGTGTCGGGAAGGAGACTTTTAAAATGTAATCCCCTACAGATTACAGATTACACACCCCAAAATGTAGTTTGTAACGTAATCCATTAAATTACTTAAAGTGAGTAATGTAATCTGAATACTTTGGATTACTTGATTTGCTGTAGAGAAGCAAAGACGAGGAAATCTTCACCTAAATCTGATAAAAGACAATAAAAAAGCCCAGACTTTACTTAACTGTATTAAAAATATTATTGATAGAAGAAGAGACACGTCCACACAGCAGGACTTAGTCCTGGTTTAGACCTGGTTTAGTCCTGGTTTAGTCCTGGTTTAGACCTGGTTTAGTACTGGTTTAGACCTGGTTTAGTCCTGGTTTAGTCCTGGTTTAGTCCTGGTTTAGTCCTGGTTTAGTCCTGGTTTAGACCTGGTTTAGTCCTGGTTTTACTCCTGGTTTAGTCCTGGTTTAGACCAGGTTTAACACTGGTTTAGTCCTGGTTTAGTCCTGGTTTAGACCTGGTTTAGTCCTGGTTTAGTCCTGGTTTAGACCTGGTTTAACACTGGTTTAGACCTGGTTTAGTCCTGGTTTAGACCTGGTTTAACACTGGTTTAGACCTGGTTTTGTCCTGGTTTAGACCTGGTTTAACACTGGTTTAGACCTGGTTTAGTCCTGGTTTAGTCCTGGTTTAGTCCTGGTTTAGTCCTGGTTTAGACCTGGTTTAGTGTCCGGCGATGAGTGGAATTACTGAAAAAAAAAAAAGGGAATACCCCAAAATGTGAAAACAGGAACATACCGCTGTGTAATCCATTTATTTCAACAAAGTAACTGTAATCCAATTACCACTCACTGAAACAGTAACTGTAACTGAATACAGTTACTCATAATTTGTACTCTGATTACGTAACTCCAGTACATGTAATCTGTTACTCCAACACTGTGTATCGTATCGTGGCCTATGTATCGAGGTCTGTATCGTATCGACGGCACCAGTCGTCTCCAGGACGGTTCTGGATTCACTGCAAAAGCAAAGATCTTTATCTTTAACAGGCGTGAAACACGGATCTATAATTAAATAAATAAAGGATGCAGAAATTTCACACTCTACTGGCAAATGTTTGATTACTATAATTAAAGCAGCACTATGTAACCTCTCTGCTCGAGGGCTGATAAAGCTCTTGTCTCCATGGAGATGCTGTTGGTTTGCACAGAAACTCCCACAGTTCGGCATTAAACACCGTCTGCATGGTTCATTTATTTATGTGTTTTGGACAGGGCCTTGCACCATCGCTGTTTCTAGATCTGTGGAAAGATCTGTGTCAATTGTCTGTGCCCCGTTTGTGCTGCAAAAAGTTTCGTTTGTGCTGCTTTATTTTTTGAGATATTAATGTAGCAGCCCCCAGGAAGCTTCAAAATGCTGTAAAACGCCACAAAATTGTGTCAATCGTTTGTGCTTCGTTTGTGCTGCAAAAAGTTTTGTTTATGCTGCAAAAAGTTTCATTTGTGCGATTATGGTTCTTAAGATATTAGCAGTTTTATTTTTGGCTGATGACTTCATCCAGTTCCTCAAAACAGGCAGAAAATTATATGAAACATTTGTGTTTAGTTTGTGTGAGTATATTTCTAAAAAATATCAATTATTATTTTTGCGGGAATTATATGATGTCAT